GGCGTGAGAGTATTCCTCCGCAGCGTCCATTGTGCATGAAACATAGCGGCAGTCGCGAACAATCATGGCGAAAGAACTGCACGCGGGGTTCCTTAAAAAGGCGACTATGGCATCAACCTCTTTCTCTATATCATTGCCTTCTTTTCTCTTCCTCTTCGGCGTTGGCACGTGCGGCACGTCACGTGGCTCCCTCGCAACCTGCTGCATCAGCCAGTCACACAATGTCGTCTTTGTTGCCGCTCCGTCCCTGTCATCATCTTCCCGCACTTCCAAGACACGCCTACCCATCAGCACATATAGACTGGATCCCCATGCAGTCAAGAATATTGCATCACTCCCTGCGGCACGCTGCAGCACCACCTCTCGCATCACAGATCCGGAGAGGAGCTTCGAGAACTTCACAACCCCGTCAAAGGAATTGTCCACCGCCCATGTGTCACCCGTGTGCGTGTGTCCCACATCCGCAGGGACGAAGGGCAGCTGCGTCAAGTCTGTAGAGGACACCGTCCACTCCATTGTGGCCAGGGACAAAGTCCTCGTCAACAACTTCGTGGTGTCGTCGCTGCTGCTGCTGCTGCTTGTAGCGTCGGCAAACACAAACAACACTTCGCGCCTGGACCAATTGAACGACCACGACCTCAACGATGCATTCGACTCAAACGGCAAAGCCAGACCGCCGCTTCGTGTCTCGCTTTGCATTGTCACGCATGCCGGCCCCACCGCGAGAAGAAGAGCGCTCACACGCCGCGTCGTCCTGCAGTACATCACAACCCCGAGCGCGTGATCAACATCGCCGGCAACGGCGCCAGCAGGGGATCCGTCCATCATGAGCACCTCCGTCGAGTCCCCGGTAAGGCCTGGGTGAGGCAGCGTTACGCGGCCAACCAACGGCAGTCGTGTCACCTCAGCCCCACGGGTGGGGTCAAGCGCGTAGCAGGCAACCGATTCGGCGGTGCGCACCACCAGCGTTGTGCCAAAAAGCACCCGCATCTCCTCAATTCCGCTGGAGGCTGGCGGTGGGGGCTCCAACACGTCCCGCGACTCCTGCACACTTTCGTTGCCGCAGTAGCAGCGGCGACGGAAGTGAATGCGGCCCACTTCAGCGTAAAAGACGCCGCACTCCTGCAGCGCCGCCCCGGGAGGATGCCACGGCGCAAGGCACACGGTACTTTTTGCCAAAGAAACCTCCACAACCGAAGAGGAGGCGGATGACAGCGTGGATCCCGGCAGTGGGCAGAAGTACACGACCTGTCGGCCGCAGGCTGCCATCGTTGACTCGTCCAGAACCTCGAGACGCTCGCAGTTCAGCGGCAGTTTTGCCACCTCCGTCATGTGTCTGTGAGTGTGTGTCGTTGCCGCCGCAAAAAAAAAAAAAAAAAACTAAAAAAGCTGAACTGCAAGTCCCTATTCCTGCTCATACCCGTGAGTGCATACAGAAACAAATATATTTATATATTTAAAAAAAATAGGAATAAAAAGAGTACGGCACAAAAAACAGGCGTCACGCATCGCCCCCACCCGCTCAGAGAACAGAGAGATGCGGTGGCACACATCAGTCCATGTGTCCACGGCAATATTTGCAAGCGCATCCATACATTCAGAGGGACACACACACACACACACACAGAGAGAGAGAGACTGAAAAAAAAAAAAAAAAACCGAATGAAACAAACAAGTGGCCGTTCTGGCCAAAAAAAAAAAAAAAAAAAAAGGCAGCCGACTGGTCCGTGCGTCTCCTGTTAAATCCTCATGAACGGTGCCAATTATAACATCTGATGGCGTGTCACCAACAGACACGCAACGCGAAAAAAAAAAAAAAAAAAAAAAAAGAAAAAGAGAGGAGGGAAAGTGATGGTCGTTCCATTACAGAAGCACAAACATGCACAGAGAGAGAGAGAGATATGCACAGGCATTGCAATGACATGCAATTCCAGCAAAAACAACACCAATAAAAATTTAAAAAACCAAAAAGACCAAAAATGAAGTTAAAATCCCCCTTTTTTGTGCGTGTTTTTGTTTTTTTCCTCCTTTCCCCTCCCCTCCCTCCACCCTTTCGTTTTTCGTTCTTTTGCATCTTCTTTTTTTCTTTTTTTCTTCTCGGTTTTCGCCCGTTTGTGTACTTCACTGAAGAAAAACTGAAAAATAATACCTCCCCCCCCCCGGGTGGCACCGGCAGCTCCCACGGGCAGAGAAATGGAGATCCGCACAGGCGGCACGAGATACGCATGCGGGGCGGGAGGGGCAGCAGCCCCCCCAAGAAAAAAAAGAAGAACAAAAAAAACATGATTTTTAGGGGCGACTTCGAATGTGTGGGACAAAAATAAGAACGCACACACGCACGCACATGTGCCGGTACCAATAAAAGTATGTAAATGGATAACGCACGTTGTGGCCGTCGTAGCCGTGGGAAGAAAAGGGCACATTATAGATAAAGATATAAATATCCAGCGCTAGCGCCGCACACATGTGTGCGTGTGTACGTTACATTTATTATTGACAAGGACGCGTCGTGTAAAATTCACCGTAAAGCCAGAATTTCTGCGTCCATTGCACTGCCCCAACATCAACACCCCCACCGCCACCACCAACATATATATATATACACACACATACACACAACAAAAAGACGCGTGCACGTAAATTTTGCTCAGGCGTCGCATTCCTATCCCTCTGTGTTATAACATTCATCCATGCATACATCTCTCTCACTCTCTTTTTCTCTCTTTCAGTTTTTTGTGTTCTCTCCCGCCGCCGCAATCCCCTCACAAACACACACACATGCCTCCTTGCACTCCCTCCCACTTTATGCGCAATCGGCGGGACACAAAATGACGGTGAGAAAAGGGCTCAAACAAAAAATGCCTGCGCCACGTCAAAAGGGGGTCCACAAAACTCGCACACCGCATTCGCCACGCACCTCTCCATCCTCCTCCTCCTCCTCCCCCCGGCGCCTGCAGTCGTACTGACATCATGGCCGCAGAGAGGCACACGGCCAATTCAGCAAAGGCTTCTCGCGGTTTTTTAAAAAAAAAAAAAAGGACTTTGTCCCCATTTCTCCCTCTCGCTGTTTCCGCGGCACAGTTTTTTTCTTTTCTTTTTTTTTTTTTTTTTTTTCGTTACGCCCCCAGACGCCCTCCGGCTGCAGGAAAAACAATTTTTGTGCCGCGATCAAAAAGGCGCGTCCCTTCGGTGAGGAGTCAAACAAACGAACAAAAAAAAAAAAAAAAAAATTTCATGTGTTGTTGTTGTTGTTTTTGCTTCTCTTTTTTTCTGTTTTGTTTCTTCTGTTTTTCGCTTTTTTAAAAGACACACAAAACAAAACAAAACAAAACAAAAAATCACAAGACGCACACAAGGAGACAAACACCAGAAAGCAGAGGAAAAAAAGAGACGGAAAAAAAAAAAAAATTTCTTTTTTTTTTTTTTTTTTTTTTTTTTTGCCCAAAGGAAGCCGAAATGATAATAGCCGTAATGATAGTAAAAAGATGAATCAAAAAAAATTTTTTGACCATTTGAAGGGGAAGGTAGAGTTATTATTATCGTTATTGAAAAAAAAAGAAAAACAAAAAAAAAAAGGAACACAACAACGGTCGAAAGGGAAAGGGGAACAAATGCCTACGACGATGTTGCGTGCGGCCCACCACCACCAGCGGCCATTCAGTTTTATTTGTTCTGCCTGTAAAGTCTCCTCCCCTCCCCTCCCTTCTCTTCTCTTCTCTTCTCTTCCCCCCACCGGCGTACAGGCAGACGACACCAAATATTTGCATGCATGCGCGCATGTACATAAATATATAAATATACACACAAAAACTTTCTCTTCTTATTTCTTTTTCACTTACTCGCATTTGCCTCCCCCTCCACCCTACACGATTTCCGTCGCGTCGTTGACTTCTGCACACACACACACACACACACACACACACAGAGAGAGAGAGAGGGGGGGAAAAAAGAAGGAAAATAAATTTAAATAAAAAAAAAGGTGTTTGTTTGTTTGTTTGTGTCTTATGGAAAAATACAATCGCAGATCCACAGCAGTCATTTCAACTTGACGCCTCACACAATTTTTTTTGTTTTTTGTTCTCTTTTTTTTTTTTTTTTTCATTTTGTCTAAAATAAAAATTATACTTTTGCCTCGTCTCCACGCAACACGTGCCTCCTCCTCCTCCTCCTCCTCCTCCTTCCTTCTTTCTTCTTTCTTCTTTCCTCCCCGCTTTAATTTCCCCCCCCCCCCCTTTTTTTTTTCTTTTTTTATATTTTTATTTATTTGTTTATTTGTTCCCTTTCCCCATTATTTATTTCCGAACGTCCCCCCGGCCCGGCCTAAAAAGGGGGACGGGAGAGGAGGACGTGGGGTAGCGGAACGACATCCCCCACTCCCCTCTTTCTGTCTGTTTGTTTGTTTGATTTTCCCTTTAAGAAAAAAAAAAAAAAAAAAAAGAGAAAAAAAAAAATTTCATTCCTTCTGCCTTTTCTTCTTTTCTCCTTTTCTTCCTATGATGTCCGCACCTTCACTTGGAGACGCCTCGGTGCTCACTGCTGCGTCATCGTGATGAGGCGCAAAAGTTTCATAGTAGCCTTCGATAGAGAGATGGCCCCGGACCCTTCACGCGTCAGCAACACGTGCAGTTGGGGGGCAACAATTTTTCGCACAGTTTCCAGTTCATCGCACACCTCCAAGGCAAGTTGGAGCACGTCATCCACGCAATCCATGGGGAACTCCGCAGATACGTTTAGCAATTTTGTTACAATTCCCTGAACAAAGGGAATCCAAAAAGTAATTGTGCAGTCCTCTGCCTCGTTATTTAGCATTGACATCCATGCCGCCTCATATATCGGGAGGCTCATAAGCGTATTCACTGCAGTCAGCTCCCCTGCTTGGCTCAAAGACAAAAGCGTGGCCCGCTCAACCCCGCACTGCTTGGAAATCGTCTTGCCATTAGCGCATCCTCCAGAGGCGCCAAGAAAGGTGCTGCTTGTTGCCGGGGATGAAGTTGTGGGAGGAACGGAAAGGAATGTCGGTTTGTAGTCATTCGTAACCACTGAAGGTGTAGCACGCGAGGTTGGGCGTAGGATCTGTCGTTCCATATCCTCTATGTACTGCTCGTACACGGGAGCTGCCGGTGGTGGAAGGCCACGCTCCTCGTTGGTGAACTTCGGCAGTCCCGGGACCGAAACCAAGGCGCCCTTGGGGCTGTCAGGACCGTACACCACACATGTCAACTCGCTGCCATAGACGCAGCCAGTGTCAATGCCGTACGCAAAGGGATGCTCCTGCAGTCCGGAACGGGCATCGTGACCAAAAACAACAAATTCCGGCCCCTTCCAGTGCTCCGCCCACGGTTCCCCACGAGTTCCCTTTACCACCGCCTTCCACTTTGCCTTTGTAATGGTACGAGCCTTCTTATCTTCACTACCACCAATCTTCTCTAATCGTCGCATATGCATAATTTCAAACACATCCTGATTTTCAATGGAATTATTCAAATTGAGTCCTGCGTGTACCACGATAACATTATATTTTGGAATGCGCAGTATGTGTGGAAGCGAACGCAAATAGTCCTGGCAACCTTGAGGAAAGGAGAGCGCAAGCTGCATCACGGGATCAAGTTCCTCCTGTACAGTAAGCTTTGGTTTCCGACATCGGGCGATGCAATTGAGAAGCGTACTATCATGGTTGCCTAGCACTCCAATGGCGCCCAGCTTCTGTGCCACCCGCACTGCTCCTATAGAGTCGGGTCCCTTATTGACTAAATCCCCCGCCAGTATGAGACAGTCCTTCCCCTTCTGGTAGTTTACCTTTAGCATTAGCTGTTCAAGCTGCTCAGGGCAGCCATGGACATCCCCCACAACAATGTAACGATGTTCACACGGGGGTGCCGTACGAATGATTGGTTTTTGTGCATTGAAATTGTCTATAGGCTCAAGCAACCTTGGGTCTGCTGCGGTGCCTGCCACCAACGTTGACATTCGCACAGCGCTGGGCTCGACGTTAGTCAGGGCAATTGCTACGGGGAACGACGACGAACCCGCATCCCGTGAAGTTGAAATGGTGGTGCTGGAAACCGCCTGTAACAACTGCTTCAACGCGTTGTTGGGCGATTGCGCCGGGGTGACCGCCTCCTTTTCCTTTTCTTGATTCAACATTGGCTGCTGCAAAGATCGTGGTGTGGGACGCATATTGCGTGTTGTTTTCCCACCACCACCACCACCAGTAGCAGTAGCAGTAGCAGTAGCACTGCCTTGGTTGCCCCTAACCAATTTCAACTCGCTGGTGGAGGGGTGGCTGCTGCTGCCGGCGCTGCCGGTCACGAGAGTCATTGGCGATGTGGTGTTGCTGCCGCGCCCGCTATTGCCTGCCTTGATTGTGTCCGCCTGCTGCGGCACCGCATTGAAAAGGCCACGGCCGCCCATGACATCCTTCAGGGCGGCGGCCACACTTGTTGTGGGGGTGCTCTCGGGGCGCTGGACCGAGTCGACAACACGTGCCCCGTTGCTCAGCTTCAGTAGTCGCAGTTGCGAGAGAACGGCGCTCTGCGTATCCATTTGGTAAAAATTCGATGTCGCAACCGCCCTCGACGTTCTTCTGAAACCAATTTGATTTTTTTTTTCTCTTTCTCTCCCGTGTTGTTGTTGACTTCTTTTTTTTTTCTTTTTTTTTTTTCTTTTTTTATTTCCTCGTTTTCTGTTGATTTTTTCTTCTCTTTTTTTCTCCTCTTTTCTTTTCTGTTCTCACTTTTTGTTTGTTTGTTCCCCTCCTTCCCTCCGCCCCTTTTGTTTCTCTCCAGTCACGTGTGAGTGCGCGTCCTTCTCTTCTCTTCCTTTTCTCTACGCTTTCTTTCTTTCCTTCCTTCTTTCCTCCTCCTCTTTTTTGTTTTATGTCGCCTCCCGTCCACTCACACAACTTGAAACTCCTCCTCGTCCTCCTCCTCCTGTTGCCGCTGTTGGCGCACCCGCCCCCCGCCGCCGCCTCGTGTGTCCTCTCGCTGGTGGTCCGCTCCTCGCCTCACGCGTGCGTCAGCCCGTGTTCGTCCGCGCAGCCAGTGGGTCGCAGGACGCCTGATGGGGGTCGCACAGCAGCAGCAGCAGCAGCAGCAGCAGCACTCGACGGTCAATCACGCAAAAAACAAAAACGCAGCAGGCACCACAAGCCACGCACGCAAAGGGGGAAAATAATACACAAAAAACAAAGAAAAAAACCCAAAAAAAAAACAAAAACAAAAAAACACACAATAAAAAAAAAGGAAAAGAAAAAAAAAGAAAAAACTGACAAATATAAATAAATATATATTTTTTCTCTTTCCCCACACACACTCCTCGTGTTGTTTCTCACTTCCCTCGCAAGGAGGCCGCTGCTGCAGGAATGACAAAAATGAGTGCTGGCAGAAAACAAAGAATGACTGAGTGAGGAGGCGCTATGTTGAAATTCAAATAACAAAGAACCGGAAAAGAAAAAGAAAAAACTCAAGCGGTCGCCGATTGGAACCCCTTTTTTTCTCTCTTTTTTTTTTTTTCCTTTCACTTCTTCACTTGTCTCTTTTCCTTCCTTCCCTCCTTCTGCTCTTGGCCAGCGTGTTGTTCTTCTTGTTGTTGTATTTCGCCTTCGCCCTCTTATGGGCTTCTCGTTGCGTCTGCACGCCTATGTGTTTTAATTCTGGACTTTGGGTGTGAGGAGGAAAAGGGGAGGGGAGGGAAAAGAAAAAAAGAGAGAAGAGAAAAGAATGAAGTGAGCAGCCACAGCAGTCAAAGACACAGGGCAGGAGAGTCACGCAGTACATCCCGTCCCTCCACAGTCGCTTGCATTGCAAAAACACTGCAAGCAGGCATGTGCAGAACTATTTATTGGGGCGTGCCAAAAAAAAAAATGAATAAATAAATAAAGAAGAAGAGCGGGAGTAAATTTGGACAACAGCGGAGTACGGCAATTGTCTCTGTCTGTCAGCGCCGCTCCCCCTTCCCCACCTCTCCACCGCGTCTCGGAGGCGTGGCTCACCAAAGGTGCAGTATGTCGCATACGTCCACCTCCTGCAGCTCCCCGGCGTATTCCTCCCAGACTTGTTTGACGTGGGCATCCATCAGTTGCTTCTTGCGGGTGATCCACTCGTGTTCCTCCGCCGTTAGTCGCGGATCCGGCATCTCCGTGAGGCGCGTGAGCAGAAAGAACTCCTCAATGGCATCGCCATACAAAACAAATTGTTTACGCAGCACTCGCGTGGCACTCTGCACGGCGCCCGCCGCCTCAAAACTAAGCGAGTGGTATGTGCGGCGCAAACCGGCACCACAGCCCTGTCGGGAAAGGCTCAGGGTGGTGTCGTACAGCTCCGTGATGCGCTGCTCCAACCGTAGCAGCGGACTTGCAAAGGCGCTGGGAATTTCCCCCGCACAGTGCAGACTGCCGTCGGCGCACGGAAAAAGCAGCGTTGGACCAACAGGCCAAAGCGCAGTCAGGCGGTCACACCAAGTCAAAAACGGAGTCTTGCGGTATCGCCACGGTAAACGCCACTGCTCGCTCGGCTGAACTCGCAACGGACGCGACGGCAGACGCAGACAGCGCGTAATCATGCTGCTATAGCTTCCGTCAAGGCCAACGACACGTGTATCCGGCGCCTCATCCGCCACGAGCCCCGGTGGATCCCAAAAGGAGACCGTCATGACATTCCGCTCATTGTCAACACGAACTAATTCATCACCGTAGACGGCCTGTGAGTGAACACCAGCAAAGGCGGTAGGTTCCAGTGCACATGTCTTAAGAGTAAACCCGACCCCACACAAGCGCGTCCAAGAAAAAATGTCTGCCTGCTTAAGAGCACTCATTCGACTGTTCCACGTATTGCTGTTGCTGAAACCTTGGCTGTTCCCACGCTTATCGTCTTCCTGATCTATGGAAGCAGTTTCCCACTCCTCCGCATCCCCACCAGCCCTGCCCCGTGGCAACAACTGCATGTATTGAGTCCCCCATGTATATAACCCACAGGAAAGAAAAGGGTAGCATAATGCCACCGTCGTGCATGCAGATTTCATTTCGGCAGAACAGACAGGCGAGAGAGTAAGTCCTGTCAGACGATATACTAACACACGGTCCATGCTGGCCACCGCAATGAGGTGATCGCCACCGTAGCCCTGCACAGAGATGTCAATTGCCCCACCATTTGCGATACAAGCCACTGAGGATACGCGCAGCGGCTTCACATGCACAAGCAAAAGGCGCCCCGATGCAGGGTCGGTCGTGACTCCAGCTGACTGCACCGCTGTGCCAATAACAACAACATCCTCCACAGGACCAGAGAGTGACTCAATGCACATCGGAATCTCCTTTGATGCCATCGGAAGTCCATCAACCACGCGAAACGCCTCTGCATCCACAGCACTAACAAGTGAGATGTCCTCCCCCCGATCTGTAAGCGCCACAATGGTGTTGGAAAGGGGCATGTAAATGGCCTTGGTAAGCCTGTGGTCATAGGCCGTGATAAAAGGCAGTTGTATTGCATGGGACTCTTGGTACTTCACGGGGCCTCGCTGCAAAGCACCATTTCGACGAAAACGGGTTGCGTTTGTCGAACCTGGCGGAACGAGATCCGGAAAAGACCACATGGCAATGCCCATGCCATCCGATAGCACCAGCATGTAAAAGGATGCGGCAGAAAAATAAAGAACAAAGCCGCAACGAAGTGGCCTGGGACGCACGCACGCCCCATCCGCAGAGGTCCGCTCGTCACTCCCGCTGCTGTTATCGTTAATGCCGCTCCTGCAATCCAACGGCAAAGGGAACAATGCGACACGCAGCCGTTCCTCCACCACAGCAGCGGGCCCCAGCAACAACAGCTCCACCACGTGAGCATTGACCGCCACAAGATTAAAGTGGGGGCGGGCGACGAGCCCAAAAACGGCGGTCACGGACAGACACATTTCCGCCCGGAATGCTCCGCCGTCAACATCCTCCATCGCCGTTAGGAAAGGAAGACCCTCCGCCGTGGCGTAATGCAACACTGCAACCGTGCGGTTTATAAAATTGAGTCCCACTCCGCCATCCATAACTGAAAAACCTGACAAAACGACAGCGTCAACAGGCAACACGTGGCGCTTCACGTCACCCTCGCCCAGCAGCCATACGACGATCTCTTGTGACCACAAGCACGATGCTACGGCCCATTTGGAAGACTCCGGTAGCCTCCATGCGGCCAAATGAGACACATCACCTGACACACGTTCCTGCAAAATGACATGTGGAGTTTTCCTGCCCTTGATCGAAAGGATTGTAACGCGTTGAGAATCCGCAACGGCAAGGAATTCGTCTCCGGCAAAGCATGCATTTGACGCGCAATCCATTCTTGACAGAATTTCTCTCAGAGAGTTGCGTGTACCCGCAAGATTCAGACATGTAGGCGTGCACTGCGCAAAAGAAAGTGACGGCGGGGATGACAATTCCGCCTTTTCATCGTCTGGGGGTGCCGAAAACGCCGCAAGGGTCGGCTCATCCAAGACAAACTCCTCCGTTTCTTGTAACTCCTCCATGCACCCTGCCGCTCCTCGCAAGAGAGCTGTACGGGTGGCGGTGGTCACCAAAAAATAAAGGGTCAAATTCAATGATCGCGACGCGTTCATGTGTGGTAATGCGTACATCTGATGAACGCCAGCAAATGCCGCATGGACTCGCAAAGGGGATACCACACCGGGCGATAGTCGCTGCAGCATGCCTTTTGAATACGTAACGACAATGTCCATGTCAGGGCCAGAGCAAGCCGATGTCATGGCGCCATGAGACAGTAAACCGCCAACGGCGCATCGTTCTACGAGATCAACAATGTACGTGTCAGAGATGCCGTCGCCCAGCAGCACGTAGCGCTGAGTCACTGGGTGCGGCTGAAAATTTGTGCTGTGACCACGATTAAACGGCAGAATCGATGTGGCGCGGAAACCGTGCGGCAAACCTCTAATACACGCAATGGGCCACTCGCCATCTTCACAATCCCCTGACTGAATGTTAGGCGCGTCACAAATATCACTATTGCCGTTGCACGACTGCAAGATCTCAAGGGACACCTCCGTCAGAAGGCCATTTTCAAGCAACAGCCACAGCACCTCCCAGGAACCGCACCTTTGCAGCAACACAGCGGCAAACGGGTGCTGCATACTGCGTGCGATGCGCACTGTCCTGTGGCCGCTTACCATGGTGAGCATGGCGCCCTGCGTTGTGGCATCAATGGCCAAAATAGACAACACATGTACACACCCGAGTAGCGAAAGAACTAACATGCGATCTGGAAGAGTTAATGCAAAATAAGGGGAGCCGCTTACAGTCAGATTCTTCAAAAGTTTTCCACGTGAAGAAGAAGAAAAGACCCCAAGCACACTCAACGATGATCGATTGGCGAAAACAAAAGCAAAGCTTTCAGGCCCCTGGGAATGCTTTGCTGGCATCGGACCCATAGACATTATGCGGTCATCCGAATTGCGGTGAAGCAGAGTCACTGAGACAGGCGGAAAACCATACGACTGCGTAACAGGTGGTGGACTCTCCAAATGTTTTCGCTCTGCCAATTCTGCAA